CTAGTTCTTCATGTTGTTTTGAAAATAGATACATCGAATACCTGGCAGCATTTTTACTGAATTAGTAATTTTTAATTTCCGAAAAGAAACTGCTGTCTCTGCAGAGGAAGCAACTCGACGTGACTCACATATGAAGAATAAGATCACCAACATTACTGAGCTTCTCCCTGTCCTTGATTTCATCAGCAAGCATATACCTAAGAACAAGCACCACGTGAGCGCCGAACTTTATCATATGAGGATCACCATGGGGCCTGCCAGATGAATAAAACATAGTGTCAAATAAAAAATAGCTGTCTTTCTTCTTTACAGTAACCAGGAGACAAATGCAAATATACAGAAGGTAAGTCATTGGAGACCCCTACCACCTCCCTGAGTTGGGAATTTATGTTCATTTGAATGAACATAATGTTAGCGGAAAACTATATCCCAGAATTATCTAATACAAGTGAAAAACTATTCACTACCTAAAGTTGCTTTGATCATCTTCTAAGGGCGCAATCCATGACCATATTATATCAAGAAGATGTGAGATATTCCCCGACATAAGGGTCATCTGCAAAAAAAAGTATTAGGGATGCAAACGCATATAACATATGGATCTTGACGAAAATATATTTGGCATCTACGATACCTGAATTTTCCGGTGCTGCTCTTTGCATCCCCTGACAACAGCTTCGTGTACCATTTCCCTATGCCAGGAACAAAACAATACTTTGGGCTGGAGCTATTTATGCGGAGGACAAAAAGAAAATTTCTCCATAGTTATATGCATACCCTGAATGGAGTTTCTGAAGAAGAGCAGAAAGATCACGGGGTTGTTGATTTAGAACATGAAGCGGCCAATCTTCTGGTCCAAGTGAAGCTTGACAACCATTTTGCATAGTTTCAGGGCTTTCATCAAGACAGTTTCTGAACTTTTCTGTCAAGCCTGGCTTTGATTGGGCGAGTTCTAGATCAACTTGAACATCAAGCCATGATTTTGCCATCGCCCAGCAAGCTGACTGCAAACAAAACACTGTTAAGGCTAAGACAATGTAGCACACAGAACAAGCTACAAAATATGTTGGAAACTATAGCAGTTTCCGTATTTTCACAGCTTTATAGAGGGATAGAGATGACAACAAGTATTGCAATATTGCATATCGATACAAATCTTCTTCAAACAGGGACCAAATATCTCATGAATATTAGTTCAATTCAGCATTGACACACGTGCAGGGTGAGGCCTGTCTTAAGAATATTAATGATTCTTCAAATAAGCACCTTAAACTATAATGCTGAGAGATTTGCATACAGTAAAAATAACAATGTTGAAATATGCTTAGCCAAAATCAGGTTATGCAAGTTTGCATATATTACCTCCCAATCAGTACAAATTGGCAAGATGCGGTTCAGGTTGCTGCATTGGTTTGCAAAAACAGCAACTTCATGTTTACCGCCATCCTGCTCGGCGATTTTCTTCAGAAACATAGATTAGAAAAAAAAACAATATTAATTTTCTATGAAGTGGAAAAATAATTACATTCATTAAGAGAGCAACATACCTATCAATAATTTGCATTACCTCTGATGCACAATACGAAGCCCATTTCCAAAGACGCAGTTGATTGCCAAATCCACTATCTAGCTCGATAGCCTGGAGAGTCCTATTTTTCGCATTCTTTACGAGTGCCTCAACAGAAGGAAACATGTCCATTCCAGAGAAAGGGCATAAAGTTGCAGCTCTCCATGGCTGCCGGAGTAAAAATTCAAAGCGACATTATAGCTACACACCTTTGTAATATAATCACCCTACGAGAATTCAAATACCTTGTAATATTACCTGCCCAGCGGACCTGCAGAGATCACATGCCTCCTCTATTCTTCCAGCCCTTAACAAAATCCAAACATCCTCAAGAAGAGATTCATCTTGTTTCTGCCAAAGAAAAGTTGTAAATATTAACTTTGTTCAACCGCAAAAAAATGAAATACGACCTTCACAGTATAGATATAGACATCCACACGGTGGCTAGACCATACAAAAGACGCACTCGCAATTGCTATTTTATACGCCCTCGAACAAGCGATATTTTTAATGTATATCTTGTATTGTATACTAAATGAAGAAATACACTCTAAGAGTAAAACATGCCCATCAGCACAAAACAAACCAACTTCAACCGTAGCTGAATAGAAACTTACTTTGTCATCAGGAAGAAGACGAGCATGTTCACGAGTTGGGGCATCAAAATCCAAATGGCGTACAGTATCAGCAGCAGAGCCATTTTTCTTGAGGTATCTTTGTGTGTGATGCCACACTCCGGCGTTAGGAAGATAAGTACCCACATGAGATCCTCGCACCTAAGAACATAAATATTTCCTTGTGAGTTAAGACTATTTGAGTGTAAGTCAACTGTATCAATTTGAGGGTTCATCACGCAATTATTTGCATAAGTTGAACAAAGCCTAGGAAACAGTACCAGCACCCAAATATATGACAAGTAGGAAACACAAACACCTGACTCTATTTTCAGAAGCAACAATGTTGTGGAGGTATTCTAGAGGAGTTCCTCAGATTCCATTCATATATAACCCGATCAAGCATTTCTCTAGTGGAGAGCAAAGACCACTAGGAAAGAAAAGTAGAAGCAACCGTTTTGTTCAGCATCTGTTTCTTATAATTTATAAACCGTGATGAAAGTTACAGGCTGCAACTAGTGACTTTATTAAGAATTCTATGAATGAGCTCTACCTAGGGTAAAATGGCCACATCAACCAATCAAGTAGCATGCCAAAGTGACACTGATAAAGTAATTTATTGAAAAGAAAATATGGAATAGCAACCTTTCTTTCCAAATCAAGTGATTTTGAAGCCAGATCTTCCAGCCACAGGACTATCCGAAGGCATAGCTGAGCTGTATGGTCATTTACAACAAACTGACAAGCCTCCAAATGAGATGTTGATGGGGACTGGAGACATTAAACAAAGTCAAATAAGTCCACCCGTGAGATGTACTAAACAGAAATGATTTCATTTGGCAAAAGGTGTAAGAAAAAATGCATTACCAAAATCAATTCCTGCGGAACTTCTTCAGTAGCTGCAAGAACAAAGACTTATCATCGGTAATACCAATCTCTAGGAAACATGAAAACATTACATGCCACGCAGTTCTCTAACAGACATCACTTATCAAATCGCGACATTATGCCTGGCCTATTCCAAAACAATATTAGGATGGAGCTGAGTTTCCTAACCTTTTCCATATAGGTTCCATAAAAGCGACCAGGAAGCAGCCTCACCCAGCAAAAGCTGAGCCTTCTGTCTCATAAGTTTATCCTCCACAACCCGATGTCTTATATCTGATCCATACCTGTAGATAAGATAACCAACGAGACAATTGTTTGAATGTGAAACAAAAACTTAACGTTGAAGAAGTTTGACGGTTCAAGTCTCATACCTAATCGATTGTGAAACATCCCTGCATGACTCCTCAAGTCTCAATATTAGATCTGGAATAGGCATCAATCCTGCAAAACCAATACGTCATAACCACAATAAGCGATAACATAAATGAGACTCTAGCAACTAAGTAAATGAAACCTACACGCCCAAAATTACACTGCAAACACAGGAACATTACTGAAAAAAATAAGAACCACACACGCATTCACAAACACACCCAAATATCTGCTTATTCATATGTTATATACACATACTGAAACATGAAGACTAATATTATACCACACAAACCTTGAAGAGCAGAATCAAACAAAGAAGCAAACAGAGCAAAAGTCGTATCCCCACTCTCAGCCAACTCATCATTCTCAACCTTGCAAGCCTTCAGTGACTGACTTTCCACTCTTCGAAACAAATCCTCATCGTCGTCACCATCTCTCTCCCTCCTGGAAACAGCAGATGAGAGCGGGTTTGCTTCGTAAAGACCGGTGTGAAAGTCCTCAACCTCTTCTTTAATGTTTTCAAGAAGCAAGGCAGTGTTCGTTGGACTATGAATGTAATTCCCATCGTACAGTAACCTATTCTCACTCACATTTGGACTCGAAATCTCCTCATGTGGCGATGTAGAATGTCTCTTCCTGCAAATGTAAACCGTTTTAAACAACATTACGCATCAATCGAAGCTTTGTACGCATCTGCAGCCTAGGAAATCGAGAATTTGTTAACCTAATTGAGTAAAGAGTAGTCGGAATCGTTACCGATAGCGACGGAATTGATCTCTAACGGTGAGGACCTCAGGGTCGAAGTAGCTAGGAGAAGTGTCCATATCCATCTCCATCTCTTCCACCAAGGAAGCGTGGCGAACAAGGTTTTGGGTGTTGATTAGGGTTTGTTTAACTCGTTAAAACCCTATAAAAAATCCTCCGCTGAGTGGAAGACTCCGTCGCCACCACCACACCTACACGGAACAGTAACGAGACTAGTGAGTAAAAAGCATAAGCTGCTTAAAACGCTGCGTTTCAATTTTAAGGGTCAGATAAAGGGCAAAAGTGTAATTTATAATAGACGGAACAGTCTCACGCGACTAGAGAGTAAAAAGAAGCAATGCTTCTTAAAACGCTGCGTTTCAATTTTTAAAGTTCAGATAAAGGGCATAAGTGTAATTAAAAGACAGAACAGTCACACGCGACTAGAGAGTAAAAAAAAAAAAAAGGCTGCCTAAAACGCTGCGTTTTTAACTTGAAGGGTCAGTCAAAGGGAATTAGTGTAATCAAACAGATTAATCAGCGATTAATTTTATTTTAGTTTTTTTTTTTTTGATGAATAAAACAAAACAGCTTCGTCAAGGTAATGGAATCTTACAAACACTTGCCAGTGTGAACAATTTGTCAGATTTTGAGGTTTGTTGGTGTGAAGCTCCAGGATTTTCAGCTAAAACCTTGTGATAGTAGCCTTTAGATATAGATGTGGCAGCTCGGTTAGAGACAAACTCATTCTCTGTATTGTCTTTTTGTCTGTTTGTTCTGTTTCATGTCAAATCAAATAAAATGGATATCCAAATCCCTTTTATTGAATGTATGTCTTATACAATCCATAGCTAACCAGCAGACAGAACTTTATAAAGATAACTCAAGTCAGATAAGACACACACACACAAACAAACAAGACGAAAATAAAAAGAAAAGCTGATACTGGCACCAAGGGTCTGAGGCTTTATTACTGATAGTACATGAGCTGCTGCTGTGCTGCGGCTACATTCTGAAAGCCACCGTCATACATGGCTGCAGTGGCTCCAGCTCCATTGATTCCATGACCTGCCTGCCTTAGAGGGTGTTGACCCTGTGAATGCATCATAGCCATCTTGCTTAGTGCCAGCTGTCTCTCATAGGCTAAGAGATCAGCTGCAGATAAACCAGACACTGGTGCTGGGGCAGGTGGAGGAAGTGGGTTTGATGCTGTTCCTGGTGGAGTTGGTTTGCTGCCCCATGAGCACTACCAATCAAAATGACAACACAATCTAATGTCAGAATGCATTCCAATGTGATCATATAAAAGAGGTTTTGTAATGGAAAAACGTACCTTAATCTGTCTGTTAAAGAGGTAAGGCTGAGAGTTGCCCATCTGAATAGCTAGAGCAGCCTCCGGATGTGTGTTGTATCTCACAAAACCAAAGCCTTTGTCTCGTTGGACGCGGACCTCTTCAATAACTCCAGCACCGAGAGCATGGAAGTAGCGGTGTAGATCAAGCTGAGTTACCTGCAAGATAGATAGATGTGACGAGGTGCCAGAACCTACTGATGCAATAATTCACCAGCAGGCCTAAGAAAAGAGCTGTCTTTCTTACTAAGCAAAGTTACATGGACATACCTCTGGGGCGAGGTTTCCCACATAGACAGTGGTAAACTGAGAGTTATTCTCAGGAGCCTCCTCATTTAAGGGCTCTTTACCATCCTCTGCACAATCAAACGGCCAATGTAGCTTCGTTAGCTAAGACTGTTCCATATATCACCCAGTAAAAACCAGAAGTTGTAGAGTAATTGAAAGAGAACCTGAAGAGACAGTTGTAAGTTCAACAACACTTTTTCCATCAGAGCTGTGCTTGTCATCACCAGATGTAGCGCCTTTTGTGGCCCAGTTGCATCTGATCTGTCTGCTACTTAACCACTTACCTGAGAACAGTAGCAAAATATTTAAGAGCTTCAGAATCAACAAAGCAGAGTTCACAAAAATTGGAATCAAGTCCTGAGATCTCAGCTACTATACAATCCTTACCATTCATCTCATTTATGGCAGTTTGAGCATCCTGCAAATTAAACATTCAAAATTAATAACCATAGAAAATCCTTAAGCTTAAAAAAATACACACCTAATGATTTAAAGAATATAGAGTACCTGTTGATTGCGGAAGGAAACAAACCCAAAGCCTCTTGAGCGCCCAGTTTTTTGGTCCCACATAACTCTTGCATCGCTTCAAGTGAATAGTGATATTAGACTCAGTTAAAAGATTATAAGTTGGATGGAAAATGATTCAGCAGATTAAACAAAAGAGTTTGATCAAACATGAGAACTTACGAACAAGTGGGAAAAATAGAAAAGCTTTGATATAATGCAGCGTCAGTAACCTCTGGACTGAGGTCTCCAACAAAAATGTTAAAGTGACCTGCATCTCATGGAAACAGAACCATTAACCATCCACACTTTCCTCCGAACACACAAAAAAATCAAAACTTACTTGATGTATCTTCCCTCTGACCAGTGGCATAAGCCCAATTGACTTTGATAGGCTGTCCAAACCTGTGAACTCAAAGTAATAAAAACCCTAAGTGAAAGCGTTCTACGAATAAAGAAGGAAACATAACCCGGAAATGAGTTTCTTACAGGTGTCTTCCGTTGAGAGAGAGTATAGCTAAAGCAGCAGATCTTCGGTCAAAGTAGTGAACAAATCCATATGATGACTGTCAAAATTTAAAAAGAAGCATACTACTTTAAGCCTTATGCTTGTCCAAAACAAGAATGCTACTTTACAAAAAAAAGGGTCGCTTTCACAATCTCTTTACCTTATCCTTTCTGATAAGTTTACTGCTTTCAACAGGGCCGGTGCTAGTAAAAATCTCTTGAAGAAGAGGCTCAGTGACCTGTATATGGATGTTCCCAACATACCTGCAAAAATATTTAAGGAGTTAAAAACATAAACTCAGAACTTCACATGTGAAACAAGTAAGTAATGCTCTAAAAACAAATCACTCACACGCTACGGCAAGTGCTGGGATCAAAACCAGGAGGAAGGTTCCCACTTGGAACTGGCTCTAACTGCAAAACAAATTACAAAATAAAGATCATTCCTTTATTAATCCCCAATTTGAAAATGCATCTTCACAAGATAAATATAAGTTTTCTCAGTGTCACTAACCCACAAAAACTAAAACTTTATTAAGACACAAAGACATTAACTAAATTACTAGCCGACAGGATCTAAGAACCCTAACTTTTCATCAATCAAGTGTTCAGCAGAGAGAAACAACACAAAAAGGTAAGGAACACAGAGATATGATGAGTACAGACAAAACCCACAAAGAGAACCGATTGTGTCGAGATGGAATCAAGACAAAAAAAAAACTCCAGTTTCGACCTAAATTAGACACATCGAAGGGTGTATATAAGAGGGAGAGAAACCTGATGATGAGGGGGTAAGACACCAGGATGGTAAAGAGAGTGTTGTTGCATCAAAGCTTGCTGCATCAGAGCTTCTTGGTGTTGCTTCAAACTCGGATTCTGCATCTTTTTCTTTCTTTCTTTCCACAGGGAAACACAGAGAGATTTCTTTGTTTGTTTTTCCCCAGAAAAGTTTTGATTTTTTTTTCCTTCCTCAGCTAGGGTTCATTCAGTTACTATCTATCGCTCACGAGGTGAAGAAAGAAAAAAAAAAAAGGAAAGGAAAGAAAATAAATAAAAAAGAAAAGGTGAAAAAAAATAAAAAGAGGAAAAAAAAAATCAGAGAGGAAAGAGAAAGAAGGTGTCCGTAGAAGATGAGAGGGACCGTGCGGAACAAGTGATGTATTTATAGGACGATTTGTTTTATTGCTAAAAACTCAAGAGGAGAAGTGGGTGAGGCTAAACTACACGGTCTGTGATGATTGTTTTTGTGACAGCCAATGATATTCCACGGTGTGTTTGTTCATCTTGGTGACAGGCCCTTGGGTCAGGCCTAAGCCCATAAAGAAACGACGTCGTTGCTTGCATGGGTAGCGGCGGGGGACCATATTTTTCGGACAAACTTGTTAAGTGGGACCAAGGCGTGTAATAATGGGTTTAGTCCGGTTTTGTGGCTGATTTTCATTTGTCTATGTTCAGGGACTCAATTAATAATTTAATACTAAAGATAACATAGCTTTGTATATCTTTATGTATTTTGTTAATATTTATGTAAGATCTATGGAAAAAAATTCAAATCATGAATCGGCTCGATTAAAATCATGTATAGTTCACCAAACATATCTGATTATGAGGTTTGACAATGTACATGTATTTTAGATAGTTTTCAACTATTCAAAACTAGATCCATTCTAATAATATCAATATCTTCTCACCAAATTAGTATCCGCAGATAATTTGATTACAAAAATGTCAAATATAATACAGATCAATGTCCTTGGCAACACTGTCCAACCACTTCGATAATATTTAAGGAAAAAGATCTAGAGTGTGCCTATTCAAGATTCTGAAATTATACAATGCAATGATGGATATGTAATATGTTGCCTGACATCAAAGTAATCTTTTTTTAACCAAAGGCCTACAGTAAAACATTTATAAATTAAAACATTTTCAAACTTATTCCATGTTTAGTAAAAATGTAAGATAAGATCCTCAAACAAGAAGTAACACAGATTATTATTCTGTCATATTCTTCCAAAATGAAAAATGAGACCTACATCAGTGTCCCCTAAATCAACATATCTCTCCTCCATACACATACCAAAAAAGCTCCTCATAAAACTTGCTAGCCATTAGGGATACAATCCAGGCTTAATCAAAATCAAGAAACTCCATTCTCTTCCTCATTGTTCCCATCAGCTCACTCGCTTCCCTCTCAACTTTTTGGGCCTACACACAGTCCTCAGCAAACATACAACATAACAAGTTAATCAGATCCGCTAATCATTTTTTGTAACTTATAGGTGGGAAAATTAGAATAGGTAATGTGATGACTTACCCTTTTAATCTCTGTCTCTGAGACGCGAATCATATGTGGAGGAAGCTCCTCTCTCTCCGTGTCCTAAACACATAGCACAAGGCCAAATCAGTTAACTGGAAAACACAGAGTGAGATAACAAAAAAAAAAGTATAAACAAGGAGAAAAAAGGCTTACAAGGTCACCAATAAGAACAACATTCTCTCCACGGATTACATAAAGGCCTAAAGGAATGTCACAGTATTGCTCACCAACAATTACCCTCTCACACGCACCTTCTAAAACCGCATTGGCTGTGTGTATATCAAAGCGAGCTTTTAATCACTCTTTCCCACTATTCATAAATGCAGAGGAATCAAATTATAAAAGTTGAATTACCGAATTGATCAAAAGAACGGAGTGTTCCCATAAGCTTTCTACCATCTCTAAGGAGCACTAGTATCTTTCCTGCAACATCATCATCAAGAGCAGAGGCAACATTCTTAAAGTAACTGATCCACAATAGTTTATATTCAAAAGAATTCCCCATGAAAGTGAGAATAAACCCACATCCCCAAAAAATCTACAAATGAAGATTGAGCCAGCAATGCCATAATAAGCAAAAATTGTCAAAATTTTAAAGATTCAAGCAATGAAGCGTGTCTCTTTACTATGAAACAAGACCGAAAGTAACAAACTTTGAATAAGCCCGCAATGAATTACTAACTAATCAGAGCAATGAGAAGTCAAAAATCATTCAGAGCTATACCCTTGTGATATTTATCTATTACATAGTTACTGATACAGTTCAAGGAATGTGTATAAACTAGAGAGGAAGAGAGAGAGATAGATTACTATCGAGATAACTGGCGAGTGAAGTTGAAAGGAATATATCTTCAGGACCAGCCCAAGACATGGTCACTGACTCTATCTATCTGCTCGAAACTGAAGCAAAAAGGTTCGGTGAGACACAAGCTAAGCTATGTAATGACTGGCTAATCGAGCAGTCAGAAAGCGGAGAGAAACAAATCTAGGTTAGGGTTTTGTGTGACCAATTCCTGGTTAAGGAAGCGATAAAAAAAGGTTGGGACTTTCTAACTCTACATCGAACACGACACGGTTCGTCAAAAAAAAAAAAAAAAAAAAACAAAACCATTGTATTATTTATTATACAGTAAGTCATTGTATTTGTACGTAAATACTTCAACCACTTTCCTAATCAATTTTTTTAATTGAAACTAAAAAAATTATTCTTACCCCCCCCCCCAAAAAAAAAAGAGAATTCAGATTCAATTACAAAACTCAATTTGACAAAAAATTTCCTGAGTTAATCTATTACATTTCTAACTTGATTCACCCACTAAATTCGACATAATTCGCTATTCAAATTTTAACATTTCTAAGAATCGATGACTGTTCTTTGACATGAACCATAAGAATGTGACATTCTCTTCATTGTTTCAGATTTGTTTGCTGAAAAATAATTCTAAAAAACAGGGATCAAAATATATTAATAGTATTAAACTTTAAAAATTGTTTTATAACAACTGTTTAACGTAAATTATTTAGTTACAAATTTCGATTATCTTCCAAAATGTCTAGAATTGTAGATACATGGATTGTGATTATCTTCTAAATGTTAAAATTAATATGATTTATCACATTTTACCAAAGAAGGACTAAATTTTTAAATTAATATATCATTTACCAGAAAAAGGACAAGCTTTATAAACCTTGGAAGCTGTACACAACTAGTCAAGTCTTAGATGTGGGAAGAAGCTACCTACCGGTGATTCACAATAACGCGGCGCGAAAACTACGCGTCGTTTTCTCAAGCACAAAACGTAACGCAGTTTATTTAAAGCAAATCAAAATCGATTTGCACTTTCTGTAGCTATCATCATCTTCCATCTATCATCATCAGCGGAGGAGAGAAAGTCCCCCTTGAGACGGAGATATCGTGTACACAAGCAAGCAAGCAAGCAAGCAAGCTAGCAACCTTATCCATCCACACCACTCTAAAACCTAAACCAGATTCACAATCCCAGGTTCGATTCTCATCGAAATTAGACGTTGCAACTGTTGGTGGAGATTTAGGGTTTCTTCGTTATTAGCTCACAGATCCTGATCCGTCACTATAGATCAAGTTAATTAGTTAAAGAAACATCTTTTCTTACGAAATTATATCCAAAGTTTCAAGCTTTACATGTTTTGTAGTTACATCAGTTTTTGTTTTGTCTTAAACTTAATTGTTTCAGTTGATGTTTTTTTAGGGAGAGATTGATCATGTTTTGTCTTAAACTGAATTGTTTCAATTGATGGTTTTTTTTAGGGAGAGATTGGTATTGTTTTGTCTTAAACTGAATTGTTTCAGTTGATGTTTTTTTATTTATCTTAAACTGAATTGTTTCAGTTGATGTTTTCTTTTAGGGAGAGATTGATTGGTCATGGCAACTGCAACTATGGCTACAGCTGCTGGAGCAGCTGCTCTTCTTTATTACACATTAAACCGGAAGCTAATAGCCGGTCCATCTGATGTAGACGATGAAGCAGCTTCATCTACTCGTGCTTCTTCTTCTTTGAGGATTGATCGTGTTTCACATAGACTTATTCAAGCTCCAGCGACTTGGCTTGAGACTATTTCTACACTCTCCGAGACTCTTCGTTTTACTTACTCCGAGACTCTAGGGAAGTGGCCTATTGGTGATCTCGCCTTTGGTATTAACTTTCTCATCAAGAGACAGGTAAAAAAAACACATCTCCTGATGACAAGTTTTAAAAACTTGAATGTTTTGTAATTGTGTGTGGATGAATAAAACTGTAGGGACTTTTACATGTGGATCGTGTCTTTGGTGGGGGAGATAGTGTAGAGCTTAAAGGACCAGAAGTAGCTAATGAGCTTAAATACTATTTGCATTTGTTGACTTTGTGTTGGCATTTCTCCAAGAAGCCGTTTCCTTTGTTCTTAGAAGAGACTGGCTTTACTAAGGAGAACGTTCTCATTCACGAACCGAAAGCTGGGATATTAAAGCCAGCGTATACGGTTCTTGTTGATCACAATTCGAAATGTTTTCTGTTGTTGATCCGTGGAACGCATAGCATCAAGGACACCTTGACGGCTGCCACAGGAGGAATAGTGCCGTTTCATCATACTGTTGTAAATGAAAGTGGGGTTAGTAATTTGGTTCTAGGATATGCTCATTGTGGTATGGTTGCTGCTGCTCGGTGTATAGCGAAACTTGCTACTCCTTGTCTTCTGAAAGGTCTTGAGCAGTATCCAGATTATAAAATTAAGGTAACTTGTTTGTAGCCTATTCTCTGTAAAGATTGTTATGTAGCCCTCACACATTGTATTGTTGGCAGATTGTAGGGCACTCTTTGGGTGGTGGAACGGCTGCTCTTTTGACATATATATTGAGGGAGCAGAAAATGCTCTCTACAGCTACTTGTGTTACATTTGCACCAGGTTTTTCATCCTACATTGTCTTCAATTACATCTATTGAATTAAGACTAAGATTTTGTTCTTGTCTTCTTCAGCTGCTTGTATGACTTGGGAATTAGCTGACTCTGGGAATGACTTCATTGTAACTGTCATAAATGGAGCTGATCTGGTTCCTACATTTTCTGCTGCATCAGTAGATGACTTACGCGCTGAGGTTAGCTTCCTAAACTACTAGATTATATGCCTTGAGAATGCTTCTTTTATACAACTTTGTTTTGTATCTTCTTCAGGTAACAGCATCTGCTTGGCTAAATGATCTGAGAAACCAAATCGAAAGGACTCGAATCCTCAGCACTGTTTATCGTTCAGCTACGGCTTTAGGATCACGTCTTCCGTCTATGGCCTCTGCCAAAGCAAAAGTTGCTGGTGCTGGTGCCATGTTACGCCCAGTGTCCAGTGGCACACAGGTAATTATAAGCTACTTCTGTACTTAAACAGCTCTTAAGACTTGGAAAAGTTTCTGACAAACTTTATGCAGGTTGTGATGAGAAGAGCTCAGAGTATGCTGACCCGTCCTGCACTAAGCTTATCTTCTTGGTCATGTATGGGACCTAGGCGTAGAGCCGCTGCTACTCAACCAAACTCAGAACATCAGATAGATTCTTCTGAAGCAACTTCAGATCCACTTGTTGCTACCACAAGTAGCAATTCCATGAATGAAGAAAGTGATGGGAAATGGAAATCAGAAGATGAAACATCTCTTCGTCTTGGAGCCACTGATCTTGACGAGTGTGAGGATCCAGAAGATATAGAAACACGCCAAGAGCGTATGACTGAAGCCGAGCTATGGCAGCAGCTGGAGCATGACCTTTACCACGACGAGGACTCTTCAGAGCTGCCTGAAGAAGCAGATGTGGCGAAAGAGATCAAAGAGGAAGAAGAAGCTGTAATCGCTGAGGCAGGTGTGGCTCAGCCAGAGATCAGGACGCCTGAGATGAAAGAGTCTCTCAGATTCCTCCCACCAGGGAAGATTATGCACATTGTCACGGTCCGGCCTGAGGCCATAGAGGCAAACGAAGAAGAAAGGTCTGAGACAGTGGAGACGGTGGAGGAAGGAAGAGTAGGAATCTTTTTGACGCCGAGGTGTTTGTATAGTAAGGTGAGGTTGTCGCAGAGGATGATAAGCGATCACTTCATGCCTGTTTACAGACGACAGCTTGAACGGCTGATACACGAGCTAACACTCGAACAGGAACAGCCTTGAAGCTTTCTGTTCGTGTTATTAGTGACTTTTTTTGTATCTTGCAGTTGTAAATACTTGTGTTTATTGACTATTACATTTAAGAAAGTTTTCTTCTGTTTGTTTATATAAAATGTTATATCCATGCAAGGAATGCTATCTTTCTTGTTCATTGGAGAAGCTCCCAAGGCTTTTGTGCTGTCTCAGGCTGTTGCTGGTGTTTACTTTTGAGGCACCAAGTGTGTTTGCAAATATAAGTTGCTTTTGTTAGGCACAAGACAAAGGAGAAGTCTGGGTCTTAACAGCGTCTTGGGTGGTGATGTATGTGATACTTCGGTTGTTGTTGGGTTTGTTTCGCTTTGTGTTGCAGACATGGAAGTCAAGCTCTATAAGCATGCTTCATGAAACTTGAGTTTCTTCCTTGTCTCACTTGGGTTTCTTGTACTTGGTTTGGTTTGGGCTATAGTTATGGTACTGCGCAACGACATTCACCTAACAAAACCTAAACACATTGCTCTATATCTGATATCGGTCACTTTCAGGCTCAATTGATGCCATGCGACTCATTACCATGTGCTATTTAAAAGCTATCTAACCTTCTCTCTTCCCCTAACCAAACAAACTAATCAGAGATTATTGAATGCAATATCTGAGCTCGTAAATGACGAGCTTCCAAAGTTTTGAATCTTTTTGATAAATTGCTTATGCCGCGTTTCCTTCTTATTGGTTCGTCGTTTTGCTATACCTACCACTTTTTTATAAACCTCAAGATTCTCACTAGGGCTGGGCAATCGGGGTCCCAATCGGGTTTCGGTTCGGGTTCATTCGGGTTTCGGGTTTTCGGGTTCATGAATTTCAGCCCCATTCGGATATTATAAAAACTCGGGTCGGATTCGGTTCGGGTTTAGTCGGGTTCGGTTTGGGTTTAGTAACATGTCCAAGATCCGGTTGAACCCGAAATAGTTTCGGTTTCGGATACTAATCGGGTTATCGGTTCTAAAAATACTAATTTATACTCAATTAAACTCACTATATTTTCAATCCTTTTATTAAATTTGTGTATTTAGCTTCTACAAACCATATTGTTCTTCTTCAAAATAATATTGTGAAACTTATCTATCAACCATATAAGATTTGTCAATGAACTATATGTGACAACACTAAACATATCATGATTAATGACAAACCAAAGCCTTGTATGAACGAAATATAATACATAATAAAACATAAAAAATTAAAGTTAACTAATAACAATTCTATAAACATAAGAAGTGCTATTTAAACTTTTAAAAACAACATTATATAAACTTCAAAACAAATTTATTCGTAACTTAACTTCAAATGTAATGTCAATCATAAATATTAATATTAACCAAATAACACTATATATTAGACTAAATATTTGAGTTAATTATTTATATCATAACTAATTATTGTAGGTACTCAATAATATATTAATCTGTTTTGGAAACATGTTAGAAATTTAGATTGGATATGATACAAGTTTTTTTGGAATTTTAAAGTTTCGGGTTCTTTCGGATATCCATTTAAGTTCGGGTTCGGTTCGGGTAATACCCATAACCCGAAATACCGTAAAGCAAGATCCATTCGGTACTTATGTCGGGTTCGAATCGGTTCGGGTTCCTTTTTATCGGGTCGGATTCGGTTCGGATTTTCGGGTTCGATTTTTTTTGCCCAGCCCTAATTCTCACTATCCTCGTGTCAATATCAAATCGCAGTCATGTGACCCACGTCTCCTCCCTGATACTTCCAGTTCTAGTAGCAGTATATAGTAACATAACATGTTATCTCTTCAGAGACGCATTTGCCACCAATTATTCATATATTGCTGACGTGGCATCAAGTCGAAATCAAAGATTCAGAAAGCTAAATAAATACGCCACCGAACTGTCGAATCTTCTTCAATCCATCCGCCATTTGCAATGGCCGCCAAGCTTTCTCTCTCCTTCGTTTTCTCTCTCATCCTCTGTTTCTCATCATCATCATCATCCCATGATGGCATAGACACATACATCGTCCACGTGCAAGGATCTCACAAGCCATCTCTCTTCACCTCACACAGCCACTGGCACAACTCTCTCCTCCGCTCCCTCCCCTCCTCTCCCCACCCACCAACCCTCCTCTACTCCTACTCACGCGCCCTCCACGCCTTCTCCGCGCGTCTCACCCCTTCCCAAACCTCAACTCTCCTCCTCCACCCCTCCGTCATCTCCCTCACGCCGGATCAAGCGCGTGAGATCCACACCACTCACACCCCCGCCTTCCTCGGCTTCTCCGATAACAACTCCCCTCTCTGGACCAACTCCAACTACGGCGAAGACGTCATCATCGCCGTTCTCGACACCGGAATCTGGCCGGAGCATCCCAGCTTCTCCGACTCAGGTCTCGACCCCGTTCCCTCCACGTGGAGAGGCGCGTGCGAGACCGCTCCCGATTTCCCGCCTTCTTCCTGTAACCGTAAACTCATCGGAGCTCGAGCCTTCTACAAGGGATACCTAACGCACCGCAACGGATCAACGCGCTCGGAGGAATCGCGCTCGCCGCGGGATACAGCGGGTCACGGGACCCACACAGCTTCCACAGCCGCGGGATCTGTAGTGTTCAACGCGAGTCTGTACCAGTACGCGCGTGGTGTAGCGCGTGGGATGGCTTCCAAGGCGAGAATCGCTGCTTACAAAATCTGTTGGACGGGTGGTTGTTACGACTCGGATATCCTCGCGGCGATGGATCAGGCCGTTACGGATGGGGTCCACGTCATCTCTCTCTCCGTTGGCGCCAAAGGTTTCGCGCCACAGTATCACAAAGACTCCATCGCGATCGGTGCCTTCGGAGCGATGCGTCACGGCATCGTCGTGTCCTGCTCCGCCGGAAACTTCGGTCCCGGACCCCAGACCGCCACCAACATCGCGCCATGGATCCTAACCGTCGGCGCGTCGACGGTGGATAGAGAGTTCACCGCCAACGCGATCGTCGGAGACGGGAGAGTCTTCACCGGAACGTCGTTATACGCCGGAGAGCCTCTCCGCGATTCTCAGATTCCTCTGGTGTACTCCGGCGAGTGCGGGAGCAGGTTATGCTACCCCGGGAAGCTGAACTCGTCGTTAGTCGAAGGGAAGATCGTTCTCTGCGACAGAGGAGGCAACGCGAGAGTCGAGAAAGGAAGCGCCGTCAAGATCGCCGGCGGAGCCGGCATGATTCTCGCGAACACGGCCGAAAGCGGTGAAGAGCTAACCGCCGATTCGCATCTCCTCCCGGCTACTATGGTTGGAGCTAAAGCCGGAGATCAAATCCGCGAGTACATCAAACATTCGATCTCTCCAACTGCAACGATCACCTTCTTAGGGACTTTGATCAGTCCAACTCCCCCTTCTCCAAGAGTAGCAGCCTTCTCTAGCCGAGGACCGAATCACATAACCCCGGTTATCCTCAAACCGGATGTAATCGCGCCAGGAGTTAATATATTAGCCGGTTGGACCGGAATGATCGGTCCAACCGATTTAGACATCGATCCGAGACGAGTTGAATTCAATATAATCTCCGGTACGTCGATGTCGTGCCCTCACGTGAGCGGACTCGCCGCTCTCCTCCGTAAAGCTCATCCCGAGTGGTCACCGGCGGTTATAAAATCAGCTCTCGTGACAACGGCTTACGATAGGGAGAATTCCGGGGAACCGATCGAGGATCTCGCGACGGGGGGATCGTCGAACTCGTTTGTACACGGGGGTGGACACGTGGATCCGAACAAAGCGTTGGATCCTGGTTTGGTTTACGACGTGGAGGCTAGGGATTACGTGGCGTTTTTATGCGCAGTGGGGTATGAGTTTCCCGGGATCTTAGTGTTTCTCCAAGATCCGAGTCTTTACGACGCGTGTGAGAGGAGTAAGCTTAGGACGGGTGGTGATTTTAATTACCCGTCTTTCTCGGTTGTGTTTGGGTCGGGTGTGGATGTTGTTAGGTATAGGAGAGTTGTTAGGAACGTTGGGAGTGATGTTGATGTGGTTTATGAAGTGGGAGTTGAGGCTCCGGGGAATGTGGAGATTGATGTGTCTCCGAGGAAGCTTGTGTTTGGTAAGGAGAGTAGGGAGTTGGAGTATGAAGTGACGTTTAAGAGTGGTGTGATTGGATCCGTGCCGGGTCTGGAATTCGGGTCGATTACATGGACAGATGGTGAACATGTTGTTAAGAGTCCGGTGGCTGTTCAGTGGAGTCAGGGGTCAGTTCAGTCATTCTGATTGATGATTGAAGTTGGGCTGTAAATTTCAATTGGGTTTGTTAGTGGGCCTAGTTGTAAAATGGGCCATTCAGTTTACCCATTGTGGAGCCTTTTGCTCTTGGGTTAGACCGGGTGAATGAGCAGAAAAAAATCGATTTGGATTGTGAAATGTTTGTGTAATAAAACAGTCGATATCGATAAAGATTAAACAAAATAACAAGCGTCGTTTTCTATACATTTAATCAATAACTTTGAACATTTGATTCGGTGAATACTTTTAATTCAGAAAGGTAGAAGATAAATTGAAATTGTATACACAGAAAGAGCAGTGTAGCAATAGAGTCAACAACAGTCAACATCAAAACCATAAATAAATAAAGGAATATTAGCCGTCCATGAATTAATGCACACAGAAAAAAAAAAAAAAAACGAAAGAGAAGTCAATAAACATATACTTTCCGGGTGAATGGTTCTCACTAGCACCTACATAATTGCACTGAAGTTGACTTTCTATGTAATAGGTGTAGGAGATGGGTTATACCCCTCCACAAGGCCCATCAAATGAGGAAAATTTAGCCCAGTCTGACAATACACTCGGCCCACCGGGTGACACCAAAACGACTCGGTATGAGACGCGTTTAGTAGCGCGACTAAATGTGTTCTAGAAGAGTTGGCGGAAGAACGATTTACCCGAACTACTAAACGGGCCTAGCGGTAATAAGGCCCAACAAGGCTAGGGCAAGTTAGGGCGAACACGAAGATTGGATCTATAAAAGGAGAGAGGCAGCAAAAGGAAAAGGGGATCCGGAATTCGACATACTCACTTGGCGGCTAGATCTAGGGTTTCTTAGCGACTAGGTGGTTAGATCTAGGGTTTACTCACCCTCCCGTTTACTCACCTTCCTGTTTAGTCACCTTCTCGTTTAGTCACCTTCCTGTTTAGTCACCTTCCCGTTTACTCACCATCTTGTACTTCCGGCTAGTCCGCCTCTTTACTCTTCTCTTTGTAACTCCTTGTTCAGATCTAATAAAAACGTCTTTGTTCGCCCTCATCTCTCTCTTTATATTGTTTCGAACCATTTTCACCTCAAACAATTTGGCGCCCACCGTGGGGCTCTGAACAAAGCAACGTTATCAGATCTAGACATGCC